ATCATGTAAAAAGATTGAATGTTACCTTCTATAGTTACTTTACTGTCCCTTGAGTTGATCCTTCATTCCCCAAGTGCCAATTCAAAGTTCCTAGTTCCTTTTTCCTTTTCCATCCAGATAACCTGTAATCTTAAACTGACCTCTACAGTATGGGCTATCCTGGCAATGCCTCCCTCTGGTCAAATCTAGCATTGATTAAAACCCTCATGACTCCAGTCTCTTCAATCTGAGCTCAAACTTCTGCCTGATTTTAGTTATTGAATAATAGAGACTTGCTGACCCTATTTATCTTTTCTCTGTCTCTCTCTCTCTTTATTTGTCTCTCTTTCTCTCCCTCACAGATCATTGCAGACTGGTTCTGCCCATGACATACAGTGATATTTTAGGACAATTGGCAAGCAGTGGGACAATAGCTTCCAAAGCACAACTCCATGCCAATCTAAATGACATTTGATCTTGTATCTAGATATTAATGCTAAGAGTTATAGAATTAAATAGACGAGTTGAAGTATAACCGTTTACAAAGCTTAGCATTCCAAACATTTCCCTCAACTTGGAGGTTAACAGTAAATCTACTGTCAGCAGGTATTTTCTATTCAAATCAATCAGTCAAATTATAATGCACATCTGGAGTAGGTGAGATGTAAATCTGGGTCTTGTGGGCCAGAGGTAGTGGCATTACCACTGTAAACAAGAGCCATAAGACATTGGAGCAGAAATTAGGCCTTTTAGCCCATCAAATCTGCACTGCCATGGCTGATAGATTTCTCAACCCCATTCTCCCACCTTCTTCCTGTAACGTTTGATCCCCTTAACAATCAAAAACCTATCTATCTCTGTCTTAAATACACTCAGTGACCTGGCCTCCACAGCCTTCTGTGGCAATGAATTCCATGGATTCACCACTCTCTGGTTGAGGAAGTTTCTCCTCAACTCCATTCTAAAGGGTCTTCCCTTTACTCTAAGGCTGTGGCTTCAGGTCCTAGTGTCTCCAGCTAATGGAAACATCTTCCCAATGTCTACTCTATCCAGGCCTTTCAGTATTCTGTAAATTTCAATTAGATCCCCCCCCATCCTTCTAAACTCCATTGAGTATGGACCTAACCAGCCCATACTCGCAAAACTTACACCATCTCCAACATTAAATCTAATTTCTCAATGGAACAATATTTGCTAAATAACCCAGAACGTGTAAAGGATTATGCTGACCAGAGGCTTAGGATTGTCAGCTGGCTTCATAGTGTCAGACATTTGAATGTATCAGAACCTACGCATATTCATACACTGGACATTGTTTTTTGTAGACATGAAGACATACTATGTTTCAATTAAACAAAATAAACAACATTCTCTGGTTCATTTCCCACTGTATTGCCTTTATCAATCAGAGCTGGCCTGCCTGGTTTAAAATTTAAACAAAACTTGGCAGTTAACTGTTGCCATGAGCTGGTGCATTTTTCATAGCAATGCCTCTACCAATTGGCAATCAGAGTTTACTTGCCATCGCTCAACACTGTCCTGTCGTACCAAATCTTTAGGGATAGTCAACATGGCTTTATGCATGGGAAATTGTATCTCACTGACTTGATTGAGTTTTATGAAGAAGTAATGAAGAGGATTGATGAGGGCAGAGCAGTGGACGTGATCTATATGGACTTCAGTAAGGCATTCAAGAAGGTTCCTCATGGTACACTGGTTAGATCACATGGAATACACGAAGAATTAGCCATTTGGACACCGAACTGGCTCGTAGGTAGAAGTCAGAGGGTGGTAATAGAGGGTTGTTTTACAGACTGGAGGCCGGTGTCCAATTGTGTGACATAAGGATCAGTGGTGGGTCTACTGCTTTTTGTCAATTATATAAATGATTTGGATGTGAACATAGGAGGTATGGTTAGTAAGTGTGCAGATGACACCAAAATTTGTGGTGTAGTGGACAGCGAAGAAGGTTACCTCAGATTACAAGGGAATCTTGATCAGATGAGCCAATGGGCTGAAGAGTGGCAGATGGAGTTTAATTTAGATAAATGTGAGATGCTGCATTTTGGAAAGGCAAATCAGGGTAGGACTTATACATTTAATGGAAAGGTCCTGGGGAGTGTGGCTGAACAGAGACTTTGGAGTGCAGGTTCATTAGTTTTTTGAAAGTGGAATTGCCGGTTGAGGGGATAGTGAAGAAGGCGTTTGGTACACTTGCCTTTATTGGTCAGTGCATTGAGTAAAGGAATTGGAATGTCATGTTGCAGCTGTACAGGACATTGGTTAGGCCACTTTTGGAATACTGTGTTCAATTATAGTCTCCCAGCTATTGGAAGGATGTTGTGAAACTTGAAAAGATTCAGAAAAGATTTACAAGGATGTTGCCAGGGTTGGAAGGTTTGGCTATAGGGAGAGGCGCTGAGGTTGTTTTCCCTGGAGCATCAGAGGTTGAGGGGTAACCTTATAGAGGTTTATAAAATCGTAAGGATCATGGATAGGGTGAAGAGCCAAGATATTTTCCCCAGGGTAGGGGAGTCCAAAACTAGAGGGCATAGGTTTAAGGTGAGAGTGGTAAGATTTAAAGAGATCTAAGGGGCAACTGTTTCACGCAGAGGGTGGTGTGTGTTTAGAACGTACTGCCAGAGGAAGTGGTGGAGGCTGGTACAATTACAACATTTAAAAGGTATCTTGGTGGGTTTATGGATAGGAAGGGATATGGGCCAAATGCTGGTAAATGGGACTAGATTTATCTAGGATATCTGGTCGGCTTGGACAAGTTGGACCAAAGGGTCTGTCTCCATACCGTGTATCTCTATGACTCTAAAAATGTCGTTGTATACAGGTATTTCCTGCAAATTACAATTTGAGTACAAGACAAAGTTTTGACAAAATGTGCCCTCTTTTCAGCAATACTCAAGTTCTGCGCTACCAAATGACTACAGTTTGATTCTCTTAATTTCTATTTAATTTGTATTCTTATTGGGATGAAGTACAATGTGTAGTGTGGAGTCATTTAGACTTCATCAGTATCCGCGATGTGCATTTTCTAGCATGTCATTGCCTAGTAAATGGGAATCATTGTTGATTTTTTTTTCATCTCTCTTGTCCAGTGAAGACCACAAGACATAGGAGAAGAAATGGACTATTCAGCCAATTAAGTCTGCTCTTCAATGCAATGAGGTCATGGCTGATCTGATAATCCTCAACTCCACTTTCCTGCCTTATCCCCATCACCCTTGATTTGTCTAATAATTAAAAATTGCTCTCAGTTTTGAATATACCTTAAGACCCAGCCTTGACCACTTTTTGCGGTAAAGAATTCCACAACTGACTACTCTCACCTCTGTCTGAAATGGGCAACCACTTACTCTGAGATTATGCCCTCTGGTCCTGGACTCTCCCACAATGGAAAATAACCTCTCCATGTCTATCCTGTCAAATCCTCTAACAAACCTATATGTTTCAATAGATCACCACTCAATTTTCTAAACTCCAATGAGTACAAGCACAAACCAGCAAACTCTCCTGCAAACAGGGATCAGCCTAATGAACCTTCTCTGGACTGTCGCCAGTGCTGTATAACTTTCCTTAGATATGGGGATCAAGACAGCTCACAGTACTCTAACTGGATTGGACTAGTGTCTTATATAGTTATAGCAAGACCTCCTTATTTTATACTTCATTTCCTTTGAAATAAACGCCAGCAGTTTATTTACTTTCCCTATCATCTGTTGAATATGAATGCTTCTTTTTTGTGATTCATGCATTAAGGCCTGAGCTGTATTTTTCTCCATTTAAATAATATTCAGAGCTTCTATTCTTAATGCCGATGTACATAACCTCACATTATGCCATGTTATATTCCATCTACTAAGCTTTTGCCCTCTTACTCAACGTGTGTTTTCCCCCTCAGCAGTCATTGTGTTATCCTCACTAATTGCCTTCCCAACTATTTTTGTACCATCAACAAATATAACAACAATGCATTGACCTCCTTTATCTACATCTTTAATATGTTATAAATAATTGTGACTCCAGCACTGATCCTTGTGGCACTCCACTTGTTACAGTTTGCTATCCTGAAAATGTTCCCTTTGTCTCAACTCTCTGTCTACGATTGGTTAGCCAATCCTCTATCCGTGCTACTATACTACCCCTATGGATAGTACAGGCTGTTAGCTTATTAACTAGCTCAATGTGTGGTACCTTATTGAATGCCTTTTGGAGATTTAAATATGTTTTATCTTCTGGCTCCCCTTTATCTCTCTCCTACTTGTTAATCCTCAAAGAATTCTAATTAATTTGGCAGGCATGATTTCAACTTCATGAAGCCATGCTGACTGCTTGATTTTATTATGTATTTCTAAGTGCTCTACTCTTACTCCTTTTATGATAGACTATAGCATTTTCCCAATGACTGCTGAATCAAATAGTGTACCAGTGCATCATAGCCAAAATTGACTGTCTTAACACAAACATGGATCATTCTTTCTGTGCAAGGTGCTTTATATTTTATATTCACAGTTGCCACTCAGAAGAACAAACACGAAAGCACCTACCAGATTCCAAGAGTATGTGACATTAGCTATTAGTTTATCTTCAAAGTTTTCCAATTTTAAAATCTGATTTTTTTGATGTAGAAAACTCTATATTACCACTGAGTAAAATATTGAGACTGCTGTTCTGGACCTGGGAGCATTTAGTTACTTTTTTGTTAGTGTAAAGGAAACTCAGCAGTAAGTTTGCATGTTCAGCTCTAATCTGGTTCTGGTGTGTACTGAAGCAAAGCAATATGAGTCCTTCTCCAAGAGATTTCTCATATTAGTTCCAGCAGAGCTCCAACCTAAATCATGACACCTTTATTTTTGCTGTTCTAACTAGATGCAAACATGGAATACATTACCAAGCTCTGTTACCTGTGAGCTTAATAACCAGTTTAGAATTATAACATGACATCAATACTAATCAGTATGGGTACTTTCTTGTCATCTTCATCAATAACCTTTCCTTTTCATTTCTAGGTGAACCACGGATTGATAACGGTGTTCCACAAGCTGCAGATTTGATTATCAGCAGTGCACCCTCCGTCATACCCATCTCAGCTCCCTCATCTCCAAAACGAGAGCTTCAGGGGAAAAAATCCAACATTGCTGTTGTACACATGAAATCTGAAAAGAGGGACCCAGTCAAGTTAACTTTACAGGTATGGCACCAAAGAAGGTAACTAGTGACTGGCACTGGTTGGGAGATCCAGCTGTATAGCTTTCAGGACTCTTTGCTGAAATAAATCTGAGTAGTAATCTAGGGGATCGAGGGAGACCTAGTGCAGTGTATGAGAGAACAGCTGTACAGAGCAGCAGATCAAAAAGGGGTATGACCAGAAAAAGGTCCAGAACTGTTTGAAGTACCCCTTTTTTGTCTGTACGTCTTTAACATAACATTTCTACTTTACAATTTAGTCCTTCTAGAGATTACTCTCAATGCTTATTCTTTTACATTTTTATGGCATTATTAAATGTAGCAGTACTTTGCGACTTGTTTGTCTGTACCCTCTGATCCTTCTTGCTTTTCACTTTCACTTTGAATTTCACGGAGTCAGGGCAGCCCTTGGAGAGTTGAAAATGGCATTTGGAACCCAATTCTGGGATTCCCAACGCGTTCCTGGGTTTTTTTTTGATTTTCAGGAATGCCTTTCAAAGGTTAGTTTGGGTCATGAATTCACATTCTGAACTCCTGACTTGACTAGCTCAGTTACAGAGATAGACATATTCTAGTCATCAGCGATTTTCAAAGAGTTGGACCAGCTTTTCAAAGAATCATGATTTACAGCAAGAACCATAGTCTGCATGAAGGAATTCTTGAGAGGTTCAGAAGATGCCAACCTACCTTTTTCTCCATTCCAGAGTTTTGGGTGGTGAGGTGACTAAAGTCCAATGCTGGATTGGCTGGGGCAGGTGGTGTTTGAATAGGTGGGCAGGTAGGATGCCCATACTTTCCTACATTCCTTCCACCGTTTGCACATTTCCACCAGGTCCAAATGGAGGTAATGCTTGAGACTGTTTTCACTTTCATGAATGCTTCTTCTCCAGCTTGGGTGGTCTTGGGAAAGAGATTAACACAAGTTGGTCTGGATATTGCATTTTTTTCAGGGACCCTTTGAGGATGTTCTTGCGGCATTTTCTCTTCCCTCCTTGTAAGCACTTGACAACTTAGCTCCCCAATTCAATCCCCATGGACTTCAAGCCACCCAGAACTAGGATAGGCCTCTACTCAAGTTCCCTGCCAAACTCGATGCTTCAATGTTCAGTCACCCACTGTAAACTGTATAAAACAATGAATTCTGTAGTGATAATATAATGTGTAAAATTTCCTGTTGTAGGTTCCCTACTACGAACTGCTACAAGCCTCCCTTCACTGGTCAGTATATGCCTTGGGATTTCTGTATTTGGCATGTTACAAGATTACCCTTGTGAATAGAACCCTAGCCATCTGCTTATCATGTAAGCTAGATGTTGAACTAGGGTATATTTAAAATATTCTTCATGATAATGGCTGCCCTGATCAAACCATCAGCTGCTGTATATAATGCAGACTCATGAACTATTCAATTGCCACTATGTTTGGCCCCCATGTTTTACCTTAGATTACCCTGGAAGGAGAAGGTGTCTGAAAACTTTGAGTAACAAGTAAGGCCAACCATTTTGCCAGTTTACAGCAAACGCATGACTGGTATTCTCTATTAACAAAATGCAGCCATCAAGCCTAAAAGGCATTTTCCCTACAAATGTGCACAATGGTATATGATTTTCAGTGTCAGGATGATATCAGGTGGGGATAAGGAATTCAAACAGACTTCTATACCTACATTGGATGTCACAGTGGCTCAGTAGTTAGCACTGCTACCTTACAACACCAGGCACTCAGGTTTGATTCCAGCCATGGGTGACTGTCTGTGTGGAGTTTGCACTTTCTCCCTGTGACTGCGTGGATTTCCTCCTACAGTCCAAAGATGTGCAAGTTAGGTGGATTGGTGATGCTAAATTGCCCCATAGTGTCCATGATATGCAGACTAGGTGGATTACCCATGGTAAATACGGGGTTACAGGGATAGGGTAGGGGGCTGGGTCAGTGTCAGATGCTCTTCAGAGGGCTGGTGCAGACTCAGTGGGCTGAATGGCCTCTTTCTGCATTGGAGGATTCTAAGATTCTAAGTACTGAATTGTAAGAATGTAGAACATACTACAGCAGGGAATAGTTGAGACTGATTGGAGACATTTAAGCAGAAGCCATATAAACAGTTAAGGGAGAAGGGAATAGAGTTATATGCTGTTAAAACCAGATATGGCAGGATGGGAGAGGTTCATATAGAGCGTGACTGGAATGGACTGGTCAGACTTAATAGCCATTTGTTGTGCTGGATATGCTGCGTAATTTTATATAAAATTGTAGGCTTCCACCATAAACCATGAAAACTGCAAAAGGGAGGTTTTCTTGTCTGGTCCACAGATGATTCCAGTGACTTATTATGTGGTTGGCTCTCAATGCCTTTCGGCAACTAGGGATGAGCCATAAATACTGCTTTGTCAGTGTTGTCCACATCCTAAACACAAATAAAAGAAAAACAGTTTTATTTTTTAAATCTGCAGTAGCTGTTTCAGAGGTTTAGAACTAGTTATGCTTCAGTCGTAATTCAGGACTTAACCAACTGGTTAACAAATGCACTCTAATAGATGTCATAGGTACAAACTACAAATCAACTTTGTTAAGAAACAAAATTATAATTCATTCTTGTAATTCATGGTGAAAATAAACTTGTTCATTTTCAGGTACTGCCAAACGTAGATATCGATAGCCTTCCCAGTATCAGTCCTGTATTGAGCCAGAGATCATCAAGCCCTGAGCAGCAGCAGGTTATGCCCCATCCTGTACAAACTCCGATACAGGTATCTTTGTTTTCATTATGTTTAAATGTTACTGTTTGAAGCAATAACACAGGTCAGCTTGTATAATGTGTGAATCCAGTAGGTTTTTCTTTCTCTTGCCTTTTATAAATATTTCATTAGAATCCAAATTTGGATGACATTTCACTGAAGAACAAGAGCAGTCACTGATAATAACACTTTGAAGTTGCCACTTGACAAGCATTCTTTGACAAAACAGGAGAGGGTGGTCACACACTGATCGTGTTGGATGCATGTGATAACAGCGTAGCTTGAAGTTTTTAGTAACATTTTGGGAGACAATATTTCTTTGGTCAGCTGGCCAAATCCATGAAACCCATTACCATGCTTAAATTAATGATATCCAAGCTGCTGAATTTTTGGTTGCCCAAAATAGACTGCAGATGCACTTCCCCTCAACACCACTTATCAATGTCTTGAGAAACTTAAGTGCAATTGGGAAGCATCAATTAGCTTTATGGTATTAGGAATCTTATCTTCTTCATTACGTTCTGGAAAATTGTTGAAACTTAACCAGTTAAAACTTTACGATCTTAAAAGCACAAATTGGTCTATCTTACTCTTAAAATAGTCTTGAAGAGTTATCTTAAATCAAGGGGGACAAATCTGCCAGTCATAGATCTACTCCTTTTAACCCCACTAATGAGCCAGGTTATATTGTCAAACAGTGGCAAGGGCATGCTCTAGAATTCCTCAAATCTACTTATCTCTGGTTTTGGATAAGTTATAAACTTGATTGTATAGTCATCCTTCATTGTAAAAGAAACAAAAAGTGCAGGTTGGATCAGGAACTCTCCACAAGTACTAAAGTGAACACCAAACAATTAAAATAGATGAAGATGTTATCACTGTCCTCATGAACAAACACTTTGCCCCTTTGAATGGTGTTTCCAAGAATGAGAAATATGAAGGTTCAGCAACAATATGCTTGTATGCTTTCATATCCATCTATCGTTTGTCATGGGCACCTTCTTTGCTATTTTTATGACAGATAATTGTAGTGGGGTGAAAAAACTAACACAGGTCAGTCATTTTAATGTGCCAAACAGCTTCTAGTTCTAGATGTTCAAGCTCAATGCGTAGACCAGGTTTAAATGTCACCAAATGCCCTCGGGTGAAAGAAATACGTAAGGAAGTGCTCCTGCCATGACGGTAATTCTTCCTCCAGGTTTCTCAATGAGTGCTTGGGGAAGACCAGACTTCCTCTTCTCTGCAGTTACTGTCCAATTTGCCACAAATCCATTTATGTTATACCCTGCAATGCACCAAGAAAGCACTTCTGATTAATTATTCTGAACCATGAAGTAGGACTGTTTTAAGGTAAGCTTATACAGCACAAATCTAACTTGATTGGGTTTTAGCAGTTTTGAAGAAAGCTATGTATCTTTCATCCCCTTTTACTAGGATATGATGTCAAAGCCAAAGTTGACATCCAACAAATTCCCATGTACCAATATGTATCAAAAGTTGAAACACTATCTCTTGGGTGACACTGTAAAGCTGACATCTTTCTGTTCTTCTGTCAAACTCAGCTTTCTGACGTAGCTAAAGAACCAAAGGCAACATGAAAAAAATTATTCTCAGATAATTGTTATGATCAGTTATGCACCATATATAAGGTGGTAGACGCTAATTCAGTAATAACATGGTGAATATCCAGTTCCTTGTTCATGTGTTTTCGTAAATAATTTTTAGTTTAGGAATTCAAGTTTAACCATGGAAATTTGGAAATACAATTGAAACATCTTGAAGCCTGGTGCACATAAAAGTTTCAGCTTTTGTGCTTTAAGAGTTAACCGTTCTTGTTTAATAGAATCAGAACAGAAGTAATTGTTTTGGAAGTTAGAGTTAAATAATGTTTATCAGACTGAAAAAGAAATTGTAAATGGAAGATGCTAAACCTTATTGGTCAGGAACAGGGCAGCCCAGAGCATGTTACACTTTTACAGAGATAGGTGGAACTTGAGAAGGTTGTTCTCTGGTTTTCAAATTACTTGTGTGATTGCTGGGAGAAGTTAATTGCAGAGTCAAGTTGAGAATGCTAGAGAAAAGTGGTGGCTTTAGGCACCACAGGTTAGCAGAGTCCGAGCAATTCAGGCAAGTGCCTAAAAGCTATTGATGATTCAGTGCAGCTGAGAGTGGGTTGAAGGAAGACCACAATAGTGTTTGCTTGGTGTAGCTGAGAAATATTGGAGCTTGGAGAAATTCAAAGGGTAGTGGCAGTTTAGTGAAGCTAACTTTCTCTAAAACAACTGCAGTTGAGCCCTTAAGTAAATGCTGGAGTGCAGTCTCAGGAATTTAGTAGAACACAGTTTAAGGGGATGTGATTGAACTACCAGAGTGTGAACAGTCATTGAGGCAGTCAGTGAAAGTAGCTGCTGAGCGTGTTTCAGGGCTTGATCTATCAAGAAAGAATTAGAAAATCTTGAAAAGAATATGGAGTTTTAATGAGGCTTGGTGACCCACAGTGTCTCTGATACCTGATTGGATCTATCTTGACTGCATCAGCCATCTGTGGGATATACAATCACAATTAATCTGCTAACATATATTTACCTCATGTTAATCCTTCAAGTTAACAGACCCTGTTTTGGGATGGTGACAGTGGACCAGCACACCATCTGTCAGTGTGAAATTCAGCATCCAACTACTTCATGTTTGCCCTTGGGGATTCAAAATTCCCCAAGATTATACATTTAATCACTATGGCTTTTTATCTGATTTTTACCTTTAATGTTTGCTATTATTTTACTGAGTTCTGGCTTCATTGAAAGTATTTCCTCAATCCACAGACTTTGTTAAAGGGGATAGAGAAACAAAATGCTTCAGGCAAATACGCCAAGATTTTTTTGAAAACATGTCTAAATGTAGTTGTGTCTGGAGGGGAATAAACTTAATAAAGCATTCTGCTCCTTTTTTTATATAGCTTGCTTGCAATTTTTAATGATGTGTGAATATGTGGCATTCTGTGCCTTTTTTTCTACTAATGGAAAAATGTGTTGCTTTTGAAAGGTCTGTGGTTTCTGGTAGTTCTTAACTGCTGAAATGTAGTTTGGCCTGTAGTAAGTTGTTCTTATTTTTGTATATTTTTCTCTCTTTGACTCTTATATATTTTTAAACAGAAATAGTTTAAATGAACAGTGTGCAGGTGTTTAAAGTTATTTTACCGTGGCAATTTCAATGCATCAGAGGCTTTCTGAATGTGAGATATGAGAACTGTTCTTGAATCAAATGGGCGACACAGCTCTCCATTGAAATTTGAGGAGGAAAGACACTTGAGACAAGCAAAATAAAAGCCAAGACTGTTGGTATTTCTTTTTAAAAATATCATTTTGTTCATGGGATTTGGGTGTCATAGTGTAGGCCAGCATTTATTGCCCATATCTAATTACCCTGGAGGAGATGGTGGTGAGCTACCTTTGCTGAGATAAGACAATTTGAATAAAAAGCAAAATAAAAATATGCAGATGTTAGAAATTTGAAACAAAAATAGAAAATGCTGGTAACACTCAGCCGGTTAATCAACTTCTGTGGAAATAACAGGCAAGGCAAGTGAGAAAACCCCTTTTAGACCCATGGAGAATCACTAATTATTCTCCCTATGGAACTAGTTGAGCATGAGTTCCCTTGGTTGCAGGGAATGGCCTGCCCAGCTGGAATTCGCCGCCTGAGGCTCTTAGAAACCTGACTCAGGGATGGTCTGCAGAACTGCTCTGGGCTGGGACTGGCTTATGTACACTATGACGTACTTGGCTATATCTTAGTGGCTATATTTTGGTGTTCAACAAAAAAATTCTATTCCTTTCCAGTCAGGCTTCTTGACTTATCACAGTAAAATTTCGGCTGAACCTTTCAACACATTGCAAAAACCATTGAAGAAAAAGCAACCAAAGACAGTGATAGACAAATATACATATGCATGTACATCACTGAAGTGGTGAAATTAAAAACAGAATACAGTTACGTAGGCATGTGAATGAGATTTACTGAGAAATTTGTCATTGAATTCTCTAAGTTTGCCTATTGTCTTAAACTGTACCTTCCTGAGCCATGAAACATTTTGTTTTCTATTTAATCATGCTTTACAGGCCTTGTACTCGTGCGTTGTTTTTCCCTCCCCTGTTCCTTTTATCGTATTCTTTTTTAAAATGTTGTTCATATTTATTTATATTTATTCCAATTTTGAAGATGGGTCTACAACTGAAATGTTATGTATTATCCGTTCTCTACACAGAAACTGCGTATTTCAATGCTTGTTTATGCTTTTATTCTTAACCAGTTTGAAATTAGCCAGGGAGCATGGTCCAAATTATTTACTTCTTGATGGATCAGTTAATCATTCGGGTGTGACTACAGCCAAAGTGTATTACCTGACTAGAATCATTTGCTGTTATCATATCTGCAGGTTAGAATGGCAGTAGAAAAATGACTGTAGACTTCATCAAAAGATTATCATCTTGGCATGAGTATTTTCTGTAACTAAACTAGAATGGAAACCTCTGCAAAGTATCGTTAGTACCATGCATGGAGTTAGTCCTTCGTAACATTCGAGTGCTTTATGACTGCAGGCACATTGCTTCTCAATGCCAAGTTTTTGTCCACTCACTTAACCCGACTAGATGCGTCTGTAAGTTCTTTGTCCCATGCTCACCACTTGCCTTTGTACCTATTTTGTGTCATCTTCAAACTTGGTTTCCATTTTCAAGACCATCTAAGTTATTCGTATATATTGTAAATAATTATCGTTGTAGCATTGATTCCTGTGGAAGCCTGCTAGTTACAGGTCACTATTCTGAGAATGCCCCACTTGTTGCAACTCTCATCTATTAGTTAGCCAAACCTACCCTCAAAACCATGGACTTTTATTAAGTATCCTTACATGCAGTACCTCACTGAATGTGTTTTGGAAATTTAAATGTATTATGTCTATTGATTTCCCCTTTATCTATCCTGCTTGTTACCTCCTCAATGAATTCTAATAA